AGGGCACATAATGACAAGTTCCTCACCTCTGTCAGTATCCAAAGAAATGACAAAAAGGTTTTCAACAGGTAGTTCAACAGTGACCGTGCAATCATTTTTGTTGCAGTTTATTCTGGTGCTTGAAAACCTGAGCATCATTTGACTGTCGACCTCCTTATCTGTGACATTTCATTACTGTGATAGTATAGCTTACACTATATTAGAGAGCTGACAAAACATTCTAGTATACTTACTTCCAAATAACTAACACACATAAAAAAATAGTAAACACACTAAGACAAATCACAAATTGACAATGCAAATATATTTTGCACATGTATTTATATGTAGTGTTGCAACAAAATGTTAACTTGTTTCGTGTCTCTTTCTTTAACTGCATGTCAGATACACAAACAGGCAAATTCAAACTGACCTAAATTCCCACCCACTCTGCCTACACAGCATAAAATATCTCATTCGTATCAGCATTTACAGTTGAATCCAACCAGGTTATGACCATGGCCATTGTACAGAGTCTGCTCCTTTTGACTCTCATCTCAGGTGAGTGAAGTCTGTTAGGAAGAGACAAGATAGGAAGAGAATATTTGGATCTCAGCTCCTTCCCATCATATAAACTCTCTATTTCTTTCAGCTGCTTGCTGTCAGTCTCTCACCTCGTCAGAGCCAGTGGTCAGCAGACCTGGACAATCAGTCACTCTGTCCTGTAGAGTTCAAGGAATCGCTCTGTCTTGGTTGCACTGGATTCGTCAAAAACCTGGGAAAGGACTAGAATGGATCGGACGCATTGATGATGGACGCAGAGGTTGTACATAACTATCGGACTTAGACAATATTACATGCTACAAAACAATAGCAATTTCAGTATCTGAGGAGAACCGACACCGCTCCATGTCCCCCCTCACGCCTTATGGTCATGCATTAATCGACTACACAAGATCCTGTGGTGGGTGGTGGTGATGTGGTGTGTTGCTGACAAGGTAAATCTTGCCAAAGGTCTTCACAGAGGCCAGATAAAAATTGTTCATCAACAAAACACTAAAGACGACACTATCCCAAAAAATCGGTGAATTTAGTGGTAAACAAATGCAGCCTCAAACCAAAAAAATAAAATCTGCTGTTTATTACTAGATGCACCGATAGCCACAGTGAAATAAGAAGAACTGAAAGGCATGCCAAAAAACTGTGTTGTGAGATGACATGAAAAAGACTGAAAAAAAACTGTGTGTGTGAGGACCACTGAACCATTTCAGCCTAGTGAGTTAAATACTGATGGAGTTATCCATGATACAAATGAGTAAAAATACAATTGTCTAATGGTGTGGTCATTAAATCGTATAGAACTAGCTGGACTTGTAAGACATCACCTTTGTGACTGCTGACGTTGTATATGAAGCGTAACAGTCCTAAATTTAAGCCCCTAGATAGAAACATTAAACCGTAAAAAACAAATCCCAAATTTGTTCACTTGCAGCTGCCAAACTGTTTTGAAAGAAGTAAGTTACCTTGTGCCTTCAGCTCATTTCACTCACAGCCAGTTGCAGGAAATTTGATCAGTGAAGACAGTGAAACTGCATAAATTTAGCACAAAAGGAAAATATTAATTCCAACTCTCATTTGATATAAAATCTTGAAAAATAATAAGAAAAAAATAAATACATATAAAGCTTGTTTTATAAATGAACTCACGAAGTTCAGAGAATTGGTGTGGGTAGCTAAAGCCATAAGCTCCAATAAGCTAAAGGAAAGAGGCTAGAGTGGGTTGTCTACATTTCTGGTCCGAGTGGAAGCGATACATATTATTCCACATTTTTCACCATTTCCAGAGACAACACTCAGGATCAGGAGCATCTGCATATTAACAGCTTGGAAAAAGAAGATTCTTTCATTTATTATTGTTCTTTGTTCTATTGGACATGTCTCAAATTTTTAAATCAACCAGACCCTACAAATATTAAGCTTTTACTTTAATACGACATTTACAATCAACAAAACCACACTCTTAGTAAGTAGGTCTAACCTCTTATCAACAGGTTTCATTTAAATGCATTTTAATTGTTTTTGGACACTTTAAGGAGGAGTTCATGCAAATATTGATCTGCCAATCTTTAATTAGTTCACAACAAAGTGAAGACGAGTAAATGAGACAGACAACAACTTTTCAATATGTTTTTATCTACATCTATAATGCTTCAATGCTATCAGTGATTCCTGGTAACTACCACAGATCTGCATTCATGCAGTCAGACGCTCACTGAGTCTGAACCAGTGATAAAACACCCTGGAGATTCTCACAAACTGACTTGTACATATGCAGGAATATCAGATAGTGATGCTGCTATCAGCTGGATCAGACAGGCTGGAGGAAAAGGGATGCAGTGGGTTGCTTACATTTCTGCTCCGGGTGGGAGCACTAAAAGCTATTCCACATCTGCCCAGAATCGCTTCACCATTTCTAGAGACAATAATGTGGATCAAGTGTATCTGCACATGAGCAGCTTGACAACTGAAGATTCTGCCATTTATTATTGTGCTCGAACGCCACAGTGAAACAGGAAGCCACAGAGCTGTACACGAAACACTGCAGATGTCACTTTGTGATGCTGATGGTCAGAATTCTCTTCATATTATTTTTTAACTAGCCTTAAATGTTCTATACATTTATTGGCCTCATATTTATATCACAAAATATTATAAAGTGATAGAAAGTCAAATGTTTACTTTGCAAGTTTGCTTTTCTTTACTACATTTACTATATTTATATATCATAATTTTATGTCAGATATTATGTGATAGGGAATATTTGTTGTTATTGTTGTGATCAAGTTTGTTTTATAATTTCATCTTCAGCATTGACCACATCAACAATGGTCATGTTAGCTCTGATACTACTGCAGGCTGCTGGATCCTGAGGAGGTTTCGCTGGATTCACATGTTCAATTGTTTGGATGTCAAATTCTGTTTGTCTTTCAAGTGCTTGTGGTCAGGTTTTCACTGATTGTCAATAGAAAATTGTACTTAGTAGTCAGTATAATCTTTTAATGATATAAGTTTGCAAATGGTAGAATACTGCATGTTGACCTTTTGATGACTTGGGCTGTTGTTCACTACAAGACTTTGTGTGCATTCCAGAGTGTTCTGGCATTCACACCCACATCCTGGGAACATGGGAGAGGTTGTATCTTCTCCTATTGTTTCATGGTAGGATAAACATAGCTATGCCAGTTTTAGTCTAAGTGCCTTTTGTTTAGATGAACTGCTGGACTTCCAGACCAGCAGGTTTAGGGAAGTCTTTATGGGGTCACACTCTGACCCCCCCCCCCCCCCCCCCCCCCCACACACACACACACACACACACACACACGTATACACATCCACATTCCAATGTAAAGAACAAACGCACCTACTGATGTATAAAATAAAGACCAGGGCAGTGGCAGAGCGCCAGCCTCGGAGCCCTCACTCCCATGCGAGTGTTCTGTGCTGCCCTTGCATGCAAGTAAAACTGTGTGTTTCTCCTCTCTGATTCTCAGCTGAAGAAGTGTCTTAGAATACATCTCTTGACACACCTCATCATAGCCAATGGTCAATTTTACTCCCACCTAATTAAAACAGTAAATAAACAGGGACATGGTTATTTTCTGGTGGTTTTATGTCACCTCACAGCAAGAAACCATGGGTTCAAATTTACTGGTCAGCTGGGGCATCTCTGCATGGACTGTGTCTGGTGTTCAAACACATGTGTCATGGTCCCTGTGTCTCCCCGGCTGGCTTGAACAGGCTAGAGGTATTTGTTGTTTTTTCTCCCTCAGTCTCTCTCTCTTCTGTCTCGCTCGCCTGGGTGGAGCTCACTGTTGGCTCCACTCTTGGCTTATTATTGGCTATATTATTGGCTTATTATTCCTGCCTCTCCCGGCCACCATGTAAGACAGTGGCTCACTATTTATCAATCAATATTGATTGATAAATACTTCAAATAGAAAATGTATTTCATAAAAAAGCTTCTGGATAAGATAAAGGATTAACTATTGGATTAGCTATCTCATTTCTGAAATCCCACAGTAATGCAAGTTATCCACACTCTTTGTGGAGTGGTTAGACAGACACATGATGGCTGCCTGGCTTTTTTTTTTTGCACTGCTAAGAGATGTGTGTGCTTAAACAAAGTCCTTTCAGCCTCTGTATTTACACTCTGTCACTGGTATGTGGAGAATGAAGGGACTCTGTGATTAAATTGAGATCTGAACATCCAAGTGTGGGCCTGTGGTGTGACCACCAGTTGAAGGCTTTATGCTCATGTCTAGTTTTCAAATGAGCTCAATAAAGGGCTCACCTGCCTTTCTGCATTACTACTCACCAAGCCCTAACAACACACCCATCACACTGTTAACTTACAGAAAGCTAACATTTCTGGTGGTTGCTGCCATTGTTTCAAGATGTGCTAAATCTCAAACCTTAACAGAGTCTGAAGCAGCTGTTAAAAGATCTGGAGAGTCCCACAGACTCACCTGTGCAACATCTGGATTTGACTTCCACAGACTCATGTGTGAAACTGGATCAGAGAGACTAAAGGATTCAAGCAGATTGCTTATGAAGTCACAGACCTCAACAGTCCCACAGGCTCATCCATACAACATCTGGATTTAATATGTAACTTTTACTCCCAGTTAGTCCAGAACAGATTCACTATCACTGGTGATAGTGATTCTACCAGTAAAGTTTATCTGCAGATGAACACAGCAGTTTTAACTGTGCCAAAACCACTGAGTTTTCAATGGGACATGAATTCATGAAAAAGCAACAACAACAAAAAAAACCAAAAAAAAACCACAACAAAATATTCAAATATTGAATTGAATTCATCTATGTCTCTGTTCTAACACTATTCATGCTTACCAATTGAGGGCCAAGTTAACCCCTCCTCACTTTGAGTCAATGCAAAACTCAGATGTCTTTCATGTCTACTTATCTGTCAGCAGAGAGGATGACAAAGAGCAGTGCACTAACAGTTTAACAGCATGGACTTCAGGGCAGGACTGCTGCTTTTAACGTTGTTTGTGGCAGGTGAAGATTTTTCTCTTATGAATAAAAAAATGTTTTGTTTTTGTTTTTTTTGTCTTACTATCTTATTGCAAATGACTTTTTTTCTTTTTTTGATCTTCTAGGTGTTGATAGTCAGACTATAACTCAGTCTGAACCGGTGGCTATAAGACCTGGAGAATCCCACAGGCTGACCTGTACAGGCTCCAACATTGACTTCAGCAGCTACTATATGGCCTGGGTCAGACAGGCTCCTGAGAAAGGACTGGAGTGGGTTGCCAGCATCAGATATGACAGTGCTTACATCTATTATTCTCAGTCAGTTCAGGGCAGGTTCACCATCTCCAGAGACAACAGCAAAGAGCAGCTGTATCTGCAGATGAACAGCCTGAAGACTGAAGACTCTGCTGTTTATTACTGTGCTCGAGAACCACAGTGAGTGGAGCCGATTGACCAGCTGTACAAAATCCAGCATAACATAAGTTTGTTAAAAATATGACTAAAGTTATTCTCACATATAATGGCAGACATTGTTGGTACAACAGTTTTGTTGTCATAATCACTAACAGAAATAACCACAGGAGTTCAGGGTATACTATAATTCTGTAAAGATTATCATAGTAATAGCAGTAATGATAGTGTATTTTAGTATTATTTTGAGATTTTGTTTTGATGTTATATTTGCCAACTCCTCTACTGCAGACAGGATAGAGAGAAAAGTATCCAGTGTTGTTATGTTAAATTATACAATGCTCACACAGAGCTCGGCTCCTTCAACAACGTGGCTTATCATTAATCACCATTCTGTGTGAGAAAGAAGATGAAGAGGTCATTTCAAGACACAAATCAGTGACTGGAGTTAAAACGCACTTTAACTGAAATATAGGAAAAGTTCAAACTGTTCAAATAATGCAGGGACATTGCTGTGATTTATAAAGTATATAAAGTTCAGTAGTGACAGGCAGAATTCTTAGAATCAGACACTATGTGCATTAAGGGCAGTTTGGTTTGTCTGTCTTCTATGTATTCATCTTTGTTTGTTTGTCTGGTTTTTTTTTTTACTTTTACACACACTCATTTTTACACAACGTTCTTCTTGTGGAAACTGATTTTATGTGGCTGAACAATTTTAAAGTTTTTAAAAACTTTGTGTAGTATTACCTAATTAACCAAGAAAATAAATTACATACTCTTGCCCTAGTTCCTTTGTAGCTTGTTACCCAGGGGTAAAATCAAGATACTGTAAATAGTCTGTTAAATAGCTAATCAATATGACTCTTGTCATAAAGTTTGTTCTCAGAATTTCACATTTTATGAGAACATTCCCCTTTCTTCCTGTTATTGCCAAAATAAGCACTGAAAAATGTCAGTAGGCCAAATTATCAGCTGTTTTCCCAGACAAACCTTCTCTATTTGTCCTTTTAAACAAATCAGGGTGAATGTGTGTGGTTCTCAATCTGAGAACAGGATATGGTTTTAGTTTTAAGTATTAAAACCAGATATTATTTTTTATTTGTATTTTTATTATTATTTACCCCTTTTTCTCTGTGTCTTTTTAATGCACTGACACAAAATCTATTTTGAGAGCATAATTATTTTGTGGCAACTTTTTTTTTTTTTTTTTTTTTTTAAAAGCTAAATACACAAGAATTGAACATATGATCTCCACTGATCACTTAACACCAAGAACCTTTACGTTTCACAAAAGTCCTCTGTGACGGAGTGACCCGTCTCAAGGCAGAGTCCGCTGAGTATGGCACCGCCACCATTAGATCGCCACCATTAGTTCGATTTGGCACCCGGGGCGGCGTATCTTTCTGACGACCGAGTAGAGGAATAAAAGGGGTGAGGAGCAAGTTGTGAGCCGCATCGGGGGTGGCTAGATTTTGGTTCCCACTTACTTGTTAAGGGCGTCGGTCGGGGAGACGTGCGGGGGGATCGCCAATCGTGCAGGGTGACGCAAGCCGATGGTATGGGGGTGTGGGGTTTAAATAATGAGTTCACGTGTGTCTGGACCGTCATGAGAATGGCCTCATTACGTGGGCCGTTAATGTGTATATGAAGTCGGGTAGACTTCCGGGAAATAGTTGAGAGCCTGTATCAATGTATATGTTTTGTGAGTGTATAATGAAAAAGAAATTCTGGGGGAGGGAGACGGGGATTAAAGTTAGAATAAAGAATTGGTGGTGACGCCAAGGGGGAGGGGTTACGGGATATAAGAGACGGCGAGCCGGATATGAAGGGGAGTGTGTTGTAACATACAGGCTGTGTAGCGCGGATCTCAGTTTTATGTCTTTGCAACCATCTTTTTATGCACTGGGGAGGCCGTTTCAAATAAAGTATCCACACTAATACCTTACCGACTACGCCTGTGTTTGTCCGGGAGAGGTCTGGAAGGGGACCCCGTGACATCCTCATTGAAATTATTTATTGGAGGGGGGATTTTACAGAAAAATAATGTTAAACACTAGAGGGCATACAATGACAAGTTTCTCGCCTCTGTGAATATAAACAGAGACGTTAGAACAGCTTTTAATCAGATAGATCAGTGGTGGCCTCACAGCCATGTGTGTTTTGTTTTGTTTTGTTTTGTTTTGTTTTAACGAACTCACCATGTCATTGCATGAGAAGACTGTTGTTTATTCTTGTGCCTGAAACGTTTGGTAGTCACGTTAATACACCAATGACAAATCATTCTTCATCTGGAAATCTCTGTATATGTGACATTTCAACACATTCTAACGCATTCTTACTCCCTACACATCCACATGCCAAATGAGGATCGAACACACTTTTAAAAAAAACTTCACTGTAACAATACAAAATGTATTTTATTGGTAGTGTTGCAACAAACTGTTATCTGTCTCTCTCTCTCTCTGTCTTATTTTGATTCTCAGATACACAAACAAGCAAATCTCCACCCACTCTGCCTACACAGCATCAAAATCTCTCATTCACATCACCATTTACAGTTGAAGTCTAAGGTAATGACCACGGCCATTGTATGGAGTGTGCTTCTTCTGTCTCTCATTTCAGGTGTGTGAAGTCTGTATCAGGATAGAAAGAGAATGTCTGGATGTCAGCTCCTTCCCATCATATAAACTCTGTATCTCTTTCAGCTGCTCACTGTCAGTCTCTCACCTTGTCAGTGGTCAGCAGACCAGGGGCCCGTTCTTCGTACGTCGCTTACTACATCCAAGATCAAATGACACATCCAAGATCAAATCATCGCGCTAACCGTGAGCTCGCTAATCCGGTTCCCCGAACACACCTGCTGTTGACGATTACTACAGCTGGACGCAGGAATGTGACATCATTGGGTGTCGTAAAAGGGGCTACGCATCGATAGTAGAAACATTGATCGGCAACCCGCTGATTGGTCGGCGAAAATGTCGAAGGGGCGTGCTCGGTATTTTCCGGCAGCAGAGCAAGAACTCATGAGTGAGGGATTTCAGGAGTTTCAGAGTTTAATTAAAACGCAAGAGAACACTGCAAAGGCTGCAAAAGCAAGGAGAGAGGGCTGGCAGAAAGTTGCTGACAAATCAAACTCGTAGGTAATTTAATAATAATAATAATAATGGATTGGATTTATATAGCGCTTTCCAAGGCACCCAAAGCGCTTTACGATACCACTATTCATTCACTCCCACATTCACACACTGGTGGAGGCAGCTACGGTTGTAGCCAGGCTGCCATATCGCGCCATCGGCCCCTCTGGCCAACACCAGTAGGCGGTAGGGTAGATCTATCATATGACACTATATTGTCCAATATCATATGGCATTATATTATATTATAATATGTTATATTATATCCCCTTTCACATTAGAGCCACAACAGGACCCACAAGAACATGGGAACAAGTAAAAGTGGAATACAGGAGTATTCTACAGAATGGTAATATTTATCTCTTAGATTGCTTTGCGTCTCTTGGCAAGGTAATACTGCCCTGTAATACTCTGTTAGTTTGTTCATAACAGCAACCAAGAAAAGGGCAGAGGAAAAAAAGACAGGTGGTGGTCCTGCACCCCCTCGTCAACAAGTTGGTTAAGTAAATAATACCCTCACGGGAATATCGATATCTCTCAATGAGCACACTGTCGCGCTGAGCTAAAGGATCCTGTCTGTCCCGCAATATACGCTGGATTCTGAGGACTCTCCTTATCAATCTTGCACCTTCCGCAATGGGTTGGTCGCGTATACGGACAGGACATGGCTGCGACAGGCTTCCCAAATCCACCTTCGCTTTTATAGCCGTGGTCTCTCATCTTGATTACACGAAGTAATTTACAATTACTACTCTGAAATATGAATTACATCTGTAATAATCACATACATGTAATAGAATGTTAATAGTTCATTTCCCTTTTTTAGGAAATGACCTGTATGTATCTGTGTGACATCAATAAAAGGATCAAGTGCTGCATTATCTTTAGTTACATTGATAATATTTATTTATGGTGAAACAGTGGAAAAATATCGCTGTTGCTTTCGTATAAATGAAGCGGACATACCTGCGTGGCCGCGATCTAATCCTGTTTACATAAAGTAAACCTGCTCCCGAGCAGGTTTACGCTTACGGCTCTGTTGCTATGACAGCAAGTCCCGGATGAGCTTCGGGGAACCGAACGATCCAGAATCACGCGAAATCGTCAACAATCTAATCCGGCTAACCTACTTAGCGAGGTACGAAGAACGGGCCCCAGGACAATCAGTTAACCTGTCATGGAGAGTTCAAGGACTCTCTCTGACTTGGTTGCACTGGATTTGACAAAAACCAGAGCTTAGGAGAATGGACTGGAAGTATTCATGATGGGACTGGCACAACATTTGCCTAAAGTCTCCAAGGCCAGTTTTCCATCACCAAAGACACTTCTCAAAATTGTTTGAATTTAGTGATGAAGACACTCAAATAAGAAGACTGTAGTTTGTGTGGGAAGCACTGAACCATGTCTGAAGATAAATAATGAAAGACAAAAATTGTACACAAAAAATAACAGTTTTAAAATTGTTATTTCATTACATTTAAGCTCCTAGATAGTAAAAGTAACCATTAAAAATCCCTAATTCAATCACTAACAACTGCTGAATTGTTTTAAAAAATAAGTTATTTTTCCCTATTGTTAGTCCTTTGTAATATAATATATTGTTATATTTAAAACAAAGAAGCAAAAAAGCTCATTAAAATGGATAAATAGTACATAACAGTTTTAAAATGCAAGTGCAGGGATACTATACTCTGACTGGGTGTACAGTATACAATCACAGGAATAACACAGAAAGACAGACTGTAATTCACACCAATGGCCAATTTAGAATTACAAATGAATGTAACCCATGCATGTTTTTAGGCTGCAGGAGAAAGCTGGAGTACAACACAGAAAGGGCCCAGCTGGCCAGTGTATTCGAAACTAGGACTACTTTCAGTA